TCACCAGGTCTGGGTGAGGCCCAAGAAATCGCCTTTCTAACAAGTTCCCAGGTGGTGCTGAAGCAGCGGTTCTGAGACCAACGCCGAGAGCCACGGCCTATCATGGCGATCGAACCAATAACCAAGGCCAGTGCTTTCGGAAGTGGGCCGCTCTTTGGAACCACCTGGGGATCTTTAAGGCAAAACCCTCCTAGTGCCTGCCTCCCACAGCCACACCTTCTGATTTAACTACCTTGGGGTGCAACTGAGAGCCTCGTGGTACACGGATGGCATGCATGCCCAGCTGCAAGCCATGAGATTAGGGGTTCAAACCCCAGTAGCTCTATGGGAGAAAGATTTTCAGTCTGTTTCCACAAGAACAGGGCCAAGCAACCCGATGGAGCAGCTCTGCTCTATTGCATGGGGTCCCTCATCAACTCCATGCACCTAATCACAACCAAGGGGTGCGAGCTGGCCATCGTTACCACCACGCTCAACTCACTTCTCCATGACCCTCATCCTCATGACCACCCTCCGTTGGGGCCACAGGCCCTCCCCTCGAGCAACGCTCTCCAGCCTTCTCGCACCCCGTGTGTGAGAACACATGTCCCCACACCTCAGGAAGTCCCTTCTGGACTTCTCCGTTTGGGCCCAATGCTTCGTCTCTTTCTGTATAACCCGCAACCATCTCTGGTCCGTAGCCAGGAGCACCGGCCCCCTTGTTCTCTCTTCTTGCCACGTCTTCCTAGGACAGTGGAGAAGTACCTGAATCAAACCACTGGCAGAGAATTCCAGGAAGACTTCTTGCCGTTGATGCTGACACTTGAACTGAGCTTTGATGGACAAGTAAATGTGGGGAGGGCATGGCGGAGGGTGAGGCTGTGTCTCCCGGGGCAACGACAGGTTGTGGTATGTGTTTGGAGCAGGCGCCCAGCCCTGCAGTGTCAGGAAGTAAAGCTGCAGAACTAGCCTGGTGCCAGATGGGGAGTGGCCTTGGGCATCAAGCCTGGAAGTTGGGCAGCATCTTTATAACCATGAAGAGCAGTTGATAGATTTTTAAAATGACTTCTGAGTTATAACTTTATTATATATTTATAGAAAATAGGAGCCACCCAGAAAAACAATTTGTATATCAACACTTTTAAACCGATTACCCAGAATTCTGCTGTATGAAGATTTTGCTAGAATTGTGCTTTTCCTGTGTCGAACATTATGCAGTTGTATATAAGCAAGTTTATATCCCCCCGTCACACTTAATGTGCTACTATAACCATATTTCATGTTACTGAAGCTTTGGAAACACTATGGCAATACAAAATTCCATCCTATGGGTATCCGATCATTTGTTGAACTATTATCCCTCGGGTGTCAATACAGGGGAAAGGGAGTTCACTATGGTGCCAGGGTGACCGTGTTTGTATGAGCTTCTGTTCTGCCAGTGGTTCTTGATGACCCATGTCAGGAAAGAAATCGTAGTTTAAGGGGTAGGAAAATCCGACAGTTTTTATGACAGTTTGTCAAATTTCTTTCCAATATATAGTCTCCTCATCACTGTGAAAGAAAATGTGCATGTCGTCCTCTCTTTCTTCTGCCCCAGCACTGGGGCTGTCATCGGTGCCCCTGTCAAAATCTGGCATGTGGTGACTTGAGCAGATTGGCATCTACAAAACAGCAACTGCTACTGTCAGCCTTTCTGTGCCTCCTTTGCACCTCCCTGCTGCTCTGCCTCCTCTCCTTGATCTCCTGGCTCTCCTGTAACCAAGCCCAAACCCATTGCTCTCAACTCAGTTCCAACTCATCCTGCCCCTAGGGCAGAGTAGAACCACTCCCTGGGTTTTCTGAGGGTGTAAAACTTTACAGGAGCAGAAAGCCTCTTCCGTCTCTCAAAGAGCAGCTGGTGGATTTGAACTGCCAACCTGATGACTCTATCCTGTCGCTCTGCCCCGCCCCCCTAAAAAAAAAAAAGATGCTTTGGGCAATAATTCTTCTTAGGGGAAATATATTTTTTAAACATTTTCCAATGGACTTGCCAAATGAGTTTATTGCTGAGTTAATTTTACTTAGCAGCCTCTAATTATCCCACCCCCCACCGGTGCCCGAACTGCCCTCTTCCCTTTCCCTTCACAACTTAGAAACGGCCTTGGCATTCAGCCTTCAAGTTCTTGCCCAGGTAGAATCAATCACGCAGGAGTTCCTTTTTCTATAATTCAATTGCTCCATTAAAAAAATATATATGCCTAGCTCTGGTTTGCCTTCTAAACCAAACATCCCACAAAGATAGAACATTTTGTATCCCAATTCTTAATTTGGTGTCTAGTTATTGGCAGTTACTCGGTGATTGTAGAATGAATGAAGGAGTGAATTAATCCCCGTCTTCCTAAGGTGTACAGTCATCCCATCGTAGCGAATACTGACTGAGTTAAAGAATATCACGACAGTACAGTGATGATAGGAAAACCCCTCTGAATCACTGTGCCTAAGATCAACAGCCGCAGAATGTCCCAGCTGTCCTGGTCTTCGATTCTTCATTCCAATCATCTCAACTGTTCGGTGGCCCTAAACACTGCCTTGTCCTCTTTTCTGTTCCATCTCCACTCCCACTTTAGTGTGTGGCTACATATCTCTGTGCTAGAAGTGGAGTCAGTGATGCCAGAATTTTCCAAAGTTTGTCAAAGAATTCCACGGGCTATTTGTAGATGGCCCACAAAGGGCAGGCTTTGGAATCCAACAAGCTTAGGAAACAAAGTGAGGTTTCTTTACTTCCAATCTTCCAGGTCGGCGTTCTAGGAAGCTGCAGGAAAGATCCACTAGGTCAAGTCTTGTCTCCTTCCTCGACAGGAGTCATGCTAGTCTCCGCCAGGGAAGATCCAAAACAGAGATTTGAAGACAAAAGGGCACATTGTGAAAGCCAGCCCCTTCCCCTACATTTAACTCCTCAGTCCCACAGTGGGCGGGTGAGGTCCCCCTCCCCTGACCAGACCCTTGAGATCAGCCTGCATTGCATCTCCGCCAGAGCCAGGAAGCAGGTAATGTGTGGGAAGTGCTAGCAGCAAGGTAATGTGTGGGAAGTGATAACAACTTTCGAGTTAAAGTCGTTTAACAGGAAAATTTGTTAAAAGACCAAGCCATTGTAAAAGCTGAAATACTTGAGTCTATTAAGTTCTCCACTTCTTAGAACATTTTGTTACCAGGGAACATTTCCAGGAGGGAAAACAGTGAACTATCACAGTGCTGTCAGATAACCAAAGCCTGGGACAAAAAGCAACATATTTGACAAGACATCTGTCTTTCTGACTAGAGAAACTTCTAAAGTTTGCTACTCTTTCTTTACTCCACCTCTCTCCTACCTCAACAGAACTCCCTCACCCTCTATACACCTCTTTCTTCCTTCTCCTCTCCTTCTCCTCCTCCTCCTCCTCCTCTCTGCCCCTCCCCACCTTTCTCTCTCGTTGCCCACGTTGTTTTTACAGACACTTTTAGAACAGCACAGTAAATGAAGACTACCCAGTGGTTCTCTAGCCCTCTTTGGTAAGAAAGGAACTAATTAAGTGACTCCAAGCTTAGATATTCATTGTTTATTCGACCAAACTCCTTCAGAGAGCCTGGAGCATTCTCCTAAATAAACACTGCCCCTCCATGACTTGCTCCCAGTCCAAAGGAGATGGACAGTGTCAGGAGGCAGTATCTCTTTCACAGACGTGAAGAAAGGGGTATGTGGGAGTATCGGTGGACAGAGGCAGGGATAGCCCCGTGCCTGCCACAGAAGGCCTACTACAGTCTGTGTATCTGTGAGCAGATCATGTCATGTCTGTCCTCGATTACTAGTTGGTTAGACTGTGGCAATGTTGACACATCTGTGATTGGCCCGGTGGTTTGTTTAACAGTCCTCATTAGAGATACATCATCCAGAGAATGTTTGTTAAACAATAGTTTGGCTTCTAAACAAGAGTAACGACAACCCCAGATCTCCCTTTGCCAATCTTAACAAACACTTTTACACTGTACCAGGAGGCACCGAAGAAGACAGAAGCTGTCTGCCAGATAAGCAACAACATTTGGATACACACAGCCTTCTGAGTTATTGACATTGGCTGGAGGTTATACAATAGCCAGGCCCTTGAGAAAGAGACCCTTGCCTTGGTATGAAAAGGAATCGGTGCTCTTACAGAATTCACCTCTCTCACCTAATGAAAAAGGTTAAAAATAAAGGGTTTGCCCCTTTAGTTTTGCTTTTTTTTTTTTTAAGGTTCATAAAAGCTGTCTTGTAAGAAATTGGCTTGGGTCTGACATCCAACCTTAATGCTGCCGTGGCTTTCCCAAGAAACAGAGTAGGCACAACCCAAGCCTTAGAGAAGCTGAAGAAATAGGGCTCTTCCCAAGTTCTCAGTCAGGAGGCCATGGATGCCAGGTGCCTGTCTGAGCCTGAGACTCATATTATCTGGCCCTCCTTTCCTACTGTGAACGCAGACTGTTCTCTTCCTTGGCTCCGACTAGGCACCTGGTGTCCTGGTCACTCGTTTCCCAGAGGATGTCCAAGGAGGTTGGCCCAGCGGAGGCTTGCCACAGGCCAAACTGAGGTATCAGCCATCCCCAGTGGGGCCAAGAGACACTTATCCAGCTATGGATAACGATCTTCGTCAGCCTTCCCATTCTATCCTCATCCCAAATCAGTGTCGCTTGAGCTGCACAGGGACTGGGAATTATTTCAGAAATTGCTCATTTCCATTTATGTTATTCTACATTTGAAGAGGCTTCTTCATATGCCAACCTATGGCATTGGATGCATAGTCATGTTCTGAATCAAACAAAACTGAGCTTCTGTTCCTAAAAGGTACATGTATTGACCTCTGGGGGAAATGTTCTAGTCAGACGGAGTTTGAAAACGCTCTTCCAGGGGAAGGAAGGAAGGACAGGGTTATTGATGGATCTGGGTTAGCCATCCAGGGACCAGGCTTTCTGGCTGGAACGAGCCGAGGAACAGAAATAATACATGCACTGCTTTTGTTTATCTCACTCTGCAGACCTCAGTGACCAGCTCCTTGAGGTGGTGGGGCTGGAGGGCGCCATGGAGATGGGGCAGATCTACACTGGCTTGAAGAGTGCAGGCAGGAGGCTGGCCCAGTGCTCCTGCGTCACCATCAGGTACGCTGCTTCCTGACCCAGGAGCCTCTCAGTCTCTCCATCTCTGCCCAGACAACAGCTAGGAAGCATCTTAGGATTCTGGGACAGGAAGAGTTGTGGGAGCCAGAAGCTTGCTAACGTTTAGAAAGAGTACCTTGCCTGGCCATTTTCCAAACCAAGAACAGTGCGTCCGTGTAGGACACCCACTGCAGGGCCTACCGCAACCAATGGGCTGTTCTCTGGAAATAAGTGGATGAAATTCTCTCAACAGAACAGAAGAGTATAAAGTCCAGAGCATCAAAACCAATGCCTTGCTTTTGTTATCTGTGCAGTGAAAACATTAGATGTGTCCCCAAGAGTGTGGTCTGACAGAAACCTGGTTCTCTGTCCTGCTCTTTCTGGATAATGGCCTTAGACATGCTATTTCCTACACAGGCAGTCCCCAGGTTATGAACAAGGTCTGTCCCTGTGTCTTTAAGGGTTTCATAGGTAAGTCCAAGCAGGTGCATACAGTTCTCACTTGGTCTTTCTTTAGTGCAAGTGAAAACTCAATGCCTGGTTCAATTATGTAAACTGTACCTGCAGCAAGGGAAGGTGGCATGATGAAGAATATATGATGAGGAGGGGCTGGTTTAATCCTTTCAAAAGGAGGGGAATTTCACCGAACGCAAAGGGTAGGTAGGAGTTGTCTGTAAGTCAGATGTTTGTAAACCCTGTGTGAGAGGGCTTCAAAAAGTTCACACAAAAATTGCATTATCATTTCATTCTATTTTTCCATGAATTTTTGAAGCCTTTTCATATGCGTTGCTAGAGCTAAACCATCTGCGTCAGCATCATTTGACTATGAATTCTTCAGGATATGGATTACACACATTAGCTGCTGCAGGCTCTGGACAGATGGGGTCTTATAGAATGGTTCTTTGATTTCCATTGTTTCTATTGGATAAATGCACCTTTTGTCTTAAGTTGTTTCCTCCATGAAAATTTCAGAAGCCTTTTCTATGTTATTCCTAGAGATCAGATCTATTAGCATAGAGATAGTGAGAGGAGGCCACTGCAGGTGGAGGGCTTCACCTTGACCGGCCAAACCCTCCACTCCCAGAACCTCCTGGGCAAGTGCCCTCAGAGCATATTTGGGGAAACTGTCCTGGCCATGACCCAGTATACCCCACAAAGGCCCCAAGATGGTATCTTTTAAAAGCAAATTATCCCATTAGTCCCTGGACTTAATTTCCTCTCTCTCCTCTATTACTCCCCAAAGCCTCCCTGCTCTTCCGTTCAGAGCTGCTGTTGTGCTAAAGCCCCGATTTTCCCAATTCCTCTCTCTAGTTCCCACCCACCCATTCTCTGTGATTCTAACCTGGAGTAGCTCTGGCAGCCCTGACGACAGAGGCCATGGAGAACATGATGTCCTAAGTTCTGAGGAACAAACACACACACACACACACACACACACACACACACACACACACACTTTTTCTTCATATGCCATTATCTTTCCAGAAGAAACAAGAGGTGAATCTTATAGGCCATCCTCCTGGGCATGTCCTATTTACTCCCTTTGCCCCCAAGAGCCAAAGTGCCATTCTCTTTCCTCTGACGATTTGTTTTTATTTTTGGATGTATCGGCAGATGTCAAACCCAGATGAAGGCTTCGGTCAGTGGGCAGTAGCTGCTCCCTGTGCCCTCAGGTCTGCAAAAGGACCTGCCTTTTCTCACGTGTCAGTGTAGTACAAATTCAGAACTCTTCCACAGAAGGGAGGCAGAAGGAAGGGCTTTCATCTCCTTAAGAAATTCATATACTAGAGAAGCCTTGTCCCACGCAAACAAGCCATCACTTGCTCCTTCCTCCCAGGCATGGGAGAATATTCTCAGGTGATTCACTTTCTCAACTAAACCAGGTCCACAGTACACACAACCACAGCGTGCACAGCGGTTCAGGAGGTAGAGAGGATGGTTCCGTTAGCCTACAAGGCAAGACTCCCTCAGAACGGAGCTACACGCTTGCCTAGGTTGGAGACATTATCTCACTGACATGATGTAATCTTTCCCTCAACATAGACTCCAGGCTATGTCACCACCCAGGGAGTGGGGATTTGGGCATGACTGGAAGGCCCCTGAGGCTAATTGTTCCATCGAGGGTCTGCTCTGCTCAACCGTGGTGCTGCCATCCTTGTGACCGCCATTTCCCAAGCTGTTTCTTTGAGTTCCCTGCTTATTTGAAGTAGTGTCTCTCAAAATGTAGTCTGTGGCCCAAGACATTGGAACCATCCACAGTGTTTTAAAGAACAGATTCTTGGGCCTGGCCCCAGACATGCCCAGTCAAACCCCTGAGATGAAGTCAGCAGTCTACTTTGAACAAGATCTCCCAGGTAGTCCTGCAGAACCCTTCCGAGATGGGCAGGCCAGGTCTTCCCACTTCTTTGTCTCGGGTTGAATAACCTAGCTCCTTCAGCTCCAGGAAACTCACTGTGTTCTCTTGGTTTGGGGCATTCCAGGACTAACAAGCTGCTGCCGATGCAGGTGGATGGAGAGCCCTGGATGCAGCCACCTTGCACGGTGAGTTTTCGCAGTCGTTGAAATGGGGCTGAGAAACATGACTGGGGACCACTTTGTTGGGGCATTGAGTTAGAGGGAGATCACTGAACCTCAGAGTTACATGGGGCTTTGTGATACCAGGAGCACACCCTCTCTTCCATTTTATTTATCCCTCCATTCATTTAGGCACCAGGAATAAAAACCAAATGAGATACAAGTCTGTCTTTCAGGAGCTCATAATTCTGGTTTGGGAGTTCTAAAACTTCACCCACAGTATACTGATAACCTTAGCTTGAGTCATTCCAGCCGCAGGGGACATACTGCCCCCAAAGCAAGACTATTTCTGATGAGCACCTCTGTTAGGACGTTCTCCCATCTCTAGAAGGCAAATCTGCACACCTACCCTAGGATTTCTACCTCTTTGCTGTGACCACTGAGCCCCTGGAAGAGAACACCCCACAGTGTGCAGATACATCTCACCCCAGCTGTGTAGGAGAAGTTCACTGAAAGGGGAACGCACAAGGATGCTATTCTGCTCAGGGCGCTCTCCCCGGCTCCTTGCACAATGCCTGGTTTGTAGTAGTTCCTCAACAATATTGCTGTCGGAGAGAAAGAAAAAAAATTAAATCAAACTCACTGCCAACGAGTCAATGCCAGCTCATAGCAACCCTGTCGTACAGGGTAGAAACGAGTTTCTGAGACTGGCACCGTTTATGGAAGTAGAAAGCCTCGTCTTTCTCCTGAGGAGCAGTTGGTGCCTTTGAACTGCTGACCTTGCAGATCGCAGGCCAATGCACCATCACTGTGCCACCAGGGCTTCTGTGGAGGAAAAAAGAGTAATAAAAATTGAAAGACACAGGGAAACAATGAGTCCAACGGACGAACGGGCCACACAACCATCAGTCTCCACATCCCTGAGACCTTCAGAACTAGATGGTGCCCAACTACTACTGCACCACCTCTGAAAACTATCACATAGAACAGGGGTTCTCCACCTGTGTGTCACGACCCTTTTGGAGGTTGAACGACCCTTTCACAGGGGTCGTCCAATTCATAACAGTAGCAAAATGACAGTGATGAAGTAGCCACGAAAATAATTTGATGGTTGGGGGGGTCACCACCACATGAGGAACTGTATTAAAGGGTCACAGCATTAGGAAAGTTGAGAACCACTGCCATAGAAAGTCTTGGATAGAGTGAGCGAACAAGGTGGACCAAACGTCAGAAGCTTAAGAGAACTAGGCTTACTGCTCAGCTAGAGACGGGTGGAGCCTCCGAGACAATGGCCCCTAGTCTTTTCCAGTCTAGAAATGAACTCACCCCCATGGCTCAGTTTTCAGCCAAGCAATAGACAGGTCGATAAGGGAAGAGTGTAAGCAGTCATTTAAAATCAGTAGGCAGCATTTTTCCAAGAACACACTTCGGAAGGCTTCAGAAAGAAGGAGGAATGCAAACATAACACAGGAAAGAAGCGGAATAAGTGATACTACATTGACGGAATTACAATAAAGGAGATGAAACAAATGTGTATGGATCGTTGAATGTAAAACATATTATCTTTGTAACCCTTCACCCAGTTTATACTCAAAAGTTTTAAAATAAAAATAAAGGGAACCCCTGACTTACCATACCTAAAACAGTTTACCATTTCCTGCACGACTACAGGAGTCAGGCATCCTTCCTTGGTAGAAACCCAACTGGAAATTTGATAGCTAAGAGAAACCTTTTTTTATTTTCACATTTTGTTCTTTCCAGAGCTTCTTCAGTAAAACCTTCAGTACTATGGTTCATGTACACATCTCGAAAGACTATTGTGTTTCTAAGCTTTCTCACACTAATGGGCAGTTGAGGTACTTCAGGAACCTGCTATTCCAAGCCATTCAGAAATTGAGACCATCACGTGGTTTTTCACTATTGGACCAAGGAGAGGGTTTTCACAAGACTTCGACAAGGTCTAGCCTATGTGTATTTTTGTAACTTGTGGTTTCATAAGCCAGACAAGTTTGTTAGGGAGTGGACGCTGACTCATGGTGACCCCATTTGTGTCAGAGTAGCACTCTGCTCCAAAGGATTTCAGGGGCTGAGTTTTTAAGCAGTAGATCACTGGGTCATCCTTTTGAGGCATGCCTGGATAAACTAGAAACTGCGACCTTTTGATTAGCAGTCAAGCTCATTAACTCAGGTGTACTATAAATTATAACACTGATCGCTAGATTCTAAAAATGGCATCTTCTGTATCAAAAGTAGAAATTCTTCTGCAAAATCTTTCCTCAACTTTTGACATTTTGAAGATTATGAAAAGATAAAAATACACTATAGCAAAACCAATAATAGCCAGCCTACCACATTGCTATAATTAGGAAGAATCAAGGAAAATTCTACTTATAATTTTTAAAATCATTTTATTGGGGGCTCGTACAACTCTTATCACAATCCATTCATCCATCCATTGTGTAAAGCACATTTGTACATTTGTTGCCATCATCATTCTTAAAACATTTGCTTTCTATTTGAGCCCTTGGTATCAGCTCCTCATTTTCCCCCTCCCTCCCCACTCCCCTCTCCCCCATGAACCCTTGATAATTTATAAATTATTGTTTTGTCATATCTTACACTGTCCGATGTCCCCCTTCAACCACTTTTCTGTTGTCCATCCCCCAGGGAGGAGGTTATATGTAGATCCTTGTAATCGGTTCCCCTTTTCCACCCCACCCTCCCTCCACCCTCCCAGTATCGCCACCCTCAGCACTGGTCCTGAAGCGATCATCTGTCCTGGATTCCCTGTGTTTCCAGTTCCTATCAGTGTATCAGTGTATGTCCTCTGGTCTAGCCGGATTTGTAAGGTAGAATTAGGATCATGATAGTCGAGGGTGGAGGGAGGAGGAAGCATTTTGGAACTAGAGGAAAGTTGTATGTCTCATCATTGCTACACTGCACCCTGACTGGCTTGTCACCTCCCCATGACCCTTCTTTAAGGGGATGTCCAGTTACCAACAACTGTACTACTTATAATTTTGATGGAGTTAAATTAAGAAAACCCATCCCAAAAAAAAAAAAAAAAGAAAACCCATCCAAGTTCCTGTTTCCTAAAGAAAGGCAGGAAGACATTCAGCCCTTGCTTGCCCAGGTCAATGGCATTGATTTGATGCCATCTGAAAGCTAGGCTGTCATGCCACAGAGTCCGGACACTGCTTTTAGAAGTAGCCAAATATGGTTCTTATCAGGACTCGACCCAGACTTACAGTCACCCTTTGGGAATTACAACTCACGATTTTATGGTGTGAAGTTCATGGAAATGCATATGTGAAGGCAAAAGAAAGCCATTCTTTAATTTGCCAGTGATCTATGCAGATGTACTTTTCTTAAAAGCGCACGCAAAACAAGAAGTAATTCAAAACTGAAGGCTTAAGAATGGGACATCAAAACACAAAGTAACTTTGAGTAATAATGTAAAGGTGTTCAATTAAAGTTTTAAAGTAAAAATCAAATTTAAAGCTGTTAATCATTAAAGGTGCAATTGAATGGCAAAAACCACTCTTTGAAAGAAAAGATACATGGTGTAGACATTAATTATTTGGATCTCAAACCTAATGGTTTATTAACAAAGACAGAATGCAGGTAGAAGACATTGTGGCAGGAATCGTAAAAATACGCTGTTTTTCATTTTCTCTCTCTGCTAATTACAAAGTATAAATCAGAAAGACACTTTAGTAGCTAGTAGAGCTAAAACTTAACAAATCTGAAAGGTTTTAAAATATGTGAATCATTTGTGTAGCACATGACAGAAAGCAATCAGCTAAAAATATATAAAATGTTTTTGAAGATGAAAGAGTTTATGAATACATCAATACTAATAACAAACATAAATGGGTTAAAATCCCCTAATGAAAGACTTAAGATCTGATATTTGCTTAAAATTTTTCATTATATGCTTCTTTTGACAGATACACATAAAGCATAATGACATACATGTTAACATATGTATCCAATATCTTTTGATTTATCCCTTGTAATGCACATAGAAATTAAAAGTAAGAGATTGTAATGTCAAATATGTTAATTTTATCACTTTATTAGGGGCTCATACAACTCTTATCACAATCCATACATACATCAATTGTGTAAAGCACATTTGTACATTCATTGCCCTCATCATTCT